ATTTCCTTTAAAGAGAAAATTAAATCAATTTAGTTTGATTCAAGTTCTCCATGTATTATTAGAACAATATAAAATTAAAGTATGAATAAAAATCGCTTGATCGAAAATAATTATATACGAGGCGAAAGAAAATATTCTTGAGAAAAAAAAAATTTGTCAGATTCAATTTATCAACATAACGACTAATTCGCTATAAAGTAGGTGAGTCGAACAATTGCCAATTCGTTGAATAATCAAAGACAATATTGTGTTAGACGAAGCTGAATAATGCTCCTAGTTTCACATTCAATATAAATGATATACAATTTAAAGGCAACAGGCAAAAATATAACAATGACAACATAAACAAATATATACATGACACGAAATTATATATTCCAGTGTACACATCTTTCATAAAAAAGCGCTCTTTATATATTAATTTTAAGGGTAAAAAAATTTGGAGAAATTTAATACTCAATCACATAATGTACAAAAATTTACTTTTGTATTTTTTTGTTTCTATTAATTTTGTCTCTATTAATTTATTTAACTAATCTCTATAAATTAATTATATTTTTCTGTTTTTATTAATTTATATTTTTTGGGTGGTATATCAATTACCCACATCTACTAATTTAATTAATTGATCTCTATAAATTAATTATTTTTATATTTTTTTGTTTTTATTAATTTATATTTTTTTATGACTCTATTTCTTTTTTTTTTTTAACTAATCTCTATAAATTGATTATATTTTTATTTTTCTGTTTTTATTCATTTATATTTTTGGGGCGGTATCAATTGCCCACATTATGTCTCTATTAATATAATTAATTGATCTCTGTAAATTAATTATTTTCATATTTGTTTTTCTTTTATTAATTAATATTTTTTTATGTCTCTATTAATTTATATTTATCCACAAATAAAAAATTTATTTAATTTAAATAATCGATTACTTGTCTATAGTCAAATAAATATTTACTTGAATTAAAACATTTTTTTTTGAAAATCAAAACAGAATAGAAAAAATCAAACAAATTGTAATTGAACAAAAAATTTCATTATTTGAAGCAAATACAATTTAACTGACTGAAATAAAAATTATTCGAATAATGTTAAAAATAAAATAAGTTTAACATTTTAGAAAAGAATTAATTTTTTTAATTGTCAAAACAAATATTTTCTAACAAAATTTAAATTTTAATGATATAATAAATAAAATAGTCGTTCATTTGAACTTTCAACTCTTTCGGAACATAATAATTTTTGTTTCAATTGAATAAATTTTGTTTGAATCAAATAAATTTTCTTCGAATCGAATATAAATTTTCCTTTCAGTATATATAAATAGTATAATTATACATTACATTACTCTATAATTAATTATTCTCTTCTATAATTAAGAAATAAATAAAATTTACATAATACTAAAAATAAAATTTCCCCAACAAAAATAAACTTCCAATATTGCAAAAATAAAAAAAAAAAATATTTGCACTCCAAACAAATAAATTCCCTACAGTCACGCAATTGATCTCTGCACATTATACTGTTTTAACATGAATGAGAAAGTAATCAGTTCACAGTTCAATATAATCAACTCGAAGATAAAGATAATTTATTATCAAGCAGCAAAAGTCGAACACCTAATTCTGATTTTAACGAGATATGAATTATATGATATATCGTCGGAGTTTACATAGTTTTATATACCTTCATAAGGAGCTCCAGAAAGCGTAACAGTGAAAATATGTTTCATTCGAGTAAGAGAGAGAGAGAAAAAAAAATCCGTAACTCAAATTTATAAAAAGAATCCAACGGAATCAACTTTTACGGTTTTATGATTTTATTGTCTAATTTTACAGACTTTGATTTCGATTCTTTTGAATAAATATAGAAATTTACGGTGATAAATTTCGCAAAAAAAGGAGAGGGAGAGAGAGAGAAAAAAAAGTGATTTAATACACGTACGTGAAGTTAATTAATTAAAAATATATTTGCACGTAACAGGCACGAAATGAAACTTTACGAAAGTGAATAATCGCCACACTACAGTTTCCGTTGGGAAATCGTTAATTGTGTGTATGTATTTCGTTAACTTAGTTATGTGGTAAAAGTGGTTAAAGTCAATTAATCCTTCACTTTCATCTAATACTAAAATAAAATAAATATTTTTTTTTTAGTACAAAAAAATAGAAAATAAAATTATTATCAAAAAATAACGTCCAAATTGCCGTTCGGGGAAAGAAACGGATAAAAATTTCAAGGCCTTATGACAACTGAGAGAAAAATCTGATTATTTCTTATTTTTATTTACTTTTTATATTTATTTTCTACTCATTTTTTACTTTTTCCTTTTATTTTCTTCTTTTCTTTCTCTTCATTTTTTTCTTTTTTTCTTTTATTTTTATCTATACTTTTATTTATTTCTGAATTTTATTTACTCTCCGCAAATATATGCAGGCGAAAAGTCCACTAATTTAAGTTAGTATAAAATTTTTTTTGTCTCTAAAATTGAGAACGAAAAAAATTAATTTTCAAGTTCCTGTAAACTTCTGAACGTTCAAGTAAACTAAATTTATTTATTTCTTCTTCAAAGTAAAAATTTACTACAAGAATTTTTTGTCTCGTATAACAATAATTAATTATAAAATTTCTAAATGTTAAATTTAGATTAATTTTTATTACAATCAGTAATTTAAGAAAATCTTTTAATGGAAAATATTTTGTTCATTTCAACGTTTAAAATTTTGTGAATCATAATTTTCCCTAAAATTCAAGTGAACGAAATTTCTTTATTTCTTCAAAATTCAAAATATTAAAAAAAAGAAATTATAAAGATTCTAAATTTTTCATTTTGTATTTGGTTTTTACAACAGTCAATAATTTTTTAAACTATTAAATTGGGGGAAAATTCTAAAAATCCAAGCAAAAATATTTAAAAATTCGCTAAAAAAGTAGGTTTTCTTTTTAATTCGTTGAGTATAAACGTTGTGAATTATTTATAATCAACGATTCAGGAAAAAAATATATTTTTCACAAAGAAAATAATAAAATTCTCATTTAAAAATTTTTCTATTCAAAAAATGCTGATCAAAAAAATTTTTTAGTAGTTTTCCAAGCGAAAACAATGAAAAAAAACTGTGCTTAAAAAACCATTTTTTCTTCTAATTGGTTGATTAAAAACGTTGTAAACTTTACTAGATTAATTCAAATACTAAAGAGATAAAAACAAAAAAAAATAAATTTTTCTAAAATTGTAAAAAGTTCTCTTTAAATAAATTTTCATAACTCCATCTGTCAGAAATTTAACAATGACTTATTTTTCTTTCAAGTAATCCAATAACTACATTTTCTCCAGAACTTCATACAAATAATTACTGTCATGAGAAATTCTCAGAGTGACACTGTTTTCCCTAAAATGGAACAAAGAATAATAAAAACTTCGAGGCAAATTACACGAAAAGCGGAAAATATTATTCTCCCAGTGTATAATTTTCAAATTTTTTTCTGACAAAAAACTAAAGAAAGAATTTCCTGGTTGAAAAAATACTACTATCCCAAAAGCAAAAAATTGCCTTCGATCTAAATTTAAAGAAATTACTAAGTAATTTTTTTTCTATTTTAATTTTTCTCTCTTCTCTAATTTTTAACCAATTCTGACAAAAAACTAAAGAGAAAGAATTGCCTGATAGGAAAAAAAATACTTTCCCAAAAGAAAAAAAATTGCCATCGATCTAATTTCAAAGAAATTTCAAAGTTCAATTTTTTTTCTTCTCTAATTTTTACTCAATTCAGACGAAAAAACTCAAGAAAGAATTTTCTGGGAGAAAAAAAATACTTTCCCAATAGAAAAAAAATTGTCTTCTATCTAATTTCAAAGAAATTCCAAAGTAATTTTTTTTCTATAATTTTTAAACGTTTTAACCAATTCAGACGAAAAAAAACTCAAGAAAGAATTTTCTGGGAGAAAAAAGCTATTTTCCCAAAAGAAAAAAATTGCCTTCGATCTAATTTCAAAGAAATTCCAAAGTAATTTTTTTCTCTCTAATTTTTAACCAATTCAGACGAAAAAACTAAAGAAACAATTTCCTTGTAGAAAAAACTATTTTCCCAAAAGAAAAAAGAATTTGCCTTCGATCTAATTTCAAAGAAGTTACAAATGAATTTGTTAAAATAATTACAATCGAAATGTCGGATATTACAATGCGGAAGCAGCGAGGAAAAGAATTTAACTCACTTATGGGAAAATGAAAATCACTCGATTATTACCTGAAAAATCATACAGATAACGATCGTAGTTATATCATTGCGCAAAAGTGAGACTCCTGAGTACTCTGTTTACAATGTACAGCTGTTGCCAAGCGTGCGACTGCGTATAATCAAGAATCCTTCAAACAAAGAAGTCTATCCCGTTGTTTGACGGTTTTTTTTCGTAAAAAAAATAAATTAAACTCGTATTTATGCAATGAAAAAAATACTGCACATCCTTCCTTTAATTACCTTTCGGAACTGTCAATCGCCAGAAAATTCCCTTTTTCCATTTAAATTCCCCTCCTGTCATTTTTTGACAATTTTCTAATTTTAATTTCAATTTTTTAATTTTTTAATTTACGAATTTTAATTTTTTCGATAATTTACTTAATGAATACCAATTAATTAGAATAATGAAGAAACCAATTTTTCTACCCATCGAGAAAATGTTTCGTTTCTCCAAAACAAAAACTCAAATCGAGACAAACAAATAACCAAAGTAACCAAAAAAAAGAAAAGTGAACAAAAGAGACATTTGCGAAAAAAATTACAAAAAACAAAAATGTAAACAAACATTCGAATCCAACTAATCAAACAGCTGTCTTGAAGATTCAGAGAATCATATTTGACGGCGCTGCCATTTTCATAACAAAGAATGGCGCCGGGAATTCAGAATGGTCGAGTCCTAATAAAGAACTCCATTTTTCCAATTCACATCACAATGACAATTAACAATAATAAATTTAAAAAAAATCACTCACCGCATTAAAAGCGAAAGTGTTTTATTATTGGCGCATTCCAGGATCTTCTTTTTTTCCCAGCCTTCAACAGTTTTCACCCATTCCTCGCCTGGACTACGCCAATCTTTCGAGATGAACGGCATTTCTCCTTCCTACGCGCGCGTCGTTTATAAAAATGAAAAGAAAAAATTAAACGGTGAGTTGTCACTGCTTTATTGCGTTTATTCCTTGTAAAGGAAAACGCGAGCAGTTGATAACACAACCGTAATTGGGAACTGTTTAAGGCCGTTTCGCGGAAGCCGAGTATTTGACAGCCCGATACTCAAATGCTCGAAACCTCTCGCTAATGTGCCTCCGACAGCCACACAGATCCACCATCAACCGCGCATGGCTTTGTTTAACTGACGTCACTCTTCAACATCAGCTGTGTTCCCAGTGAGTCTACTGCTGTTGCCATCCCCCTTTCAGACTGAATCAGTTTTTTTTTCTTTTTCTCTCTCTTGTGTGTGTTGAAAAGCGAAAGAGTGTCTTTTCTGCCATCTACACACGATTTATCCAATATCTTCTTATTTTTCTTCACAATTTTCTTCTCTATCGACGATAAATAAAACAGTCTCTGAAAATAAAGAAAAACTATTTAAAAAAAAAAGAAAATACCCAAAAAGAAAAAGAAGTGAAAAGACAGTGAAATACGAATAAAACAGATTTATTCACAATGTTCACAAGTAAACTTTAGAATATATATATAAATTATATATGTACAGGAATCGAATTTTTAAATAATTTCATTTTAGGTAGGTGAAGTTCACAACGTTTACGATCAACGAATTTAAAGAAAATAGAAGTATAAAAAGTTAATATGTAATGAAATGTATTAAAATATATTTCCTGCAACGCGCGAAATTTTTTTTTTGGAAATCCTTTTGCATTGAGCCAAGATTACAAAAAAAAAATTTGACCCCAATCCCAGTGGGGGAACCACCCCATTTGCCTCCCCCATGTAATAAAAATTATTAAAAAATACATTTTTCGCAACGCGAGAAATTTTCTTTTTGGAAATCCTTCTACATTGAGCCAAGATTACAAACAAAAAATTTGACCCGAATCCGAGTGGGGGAACCACCCCATTTGCCTCCCACCATGTAATAAAAATTATTAAAAAATACATTTTTCGCAACGCGAGAAATTTTCTTTTTGGAAATCCTTCTACATTGAGCCAAGATTACAAACAAAAAATTAGACCCAAATCTGAGTGGGGGAACCACCCCATTTTCCTCCCCCCATGTAATAAAAATTATTAAAAAATACATTTTTCGCAACGCGAGAAATTTTTTTTTTGGAAATCATTTTACATTGAGACAAGATTACAAGCAAACAATTTGAGCCAAATCGGAGTGGGGGAACCACCCCATTTGCCTCCCACCATGTAATAAAAATTATTAAAAAATACATTTTTCGCAACGCGAGAAATTTTTTTTTTTGATATCCTTCTACATTGAGCCCAGATTACAAACAAAAAATTTGACCTCAATCCGAGTGGGGGAACCACCCCATTTTCCTCCCCCCATGTAATAAAAATTATTAAAAAATACATTTTTCGCAACGCGAGAAATTTTTTTTTTGGAAATCATTTTACATTGAGACAAGATTACAAACAAACAATTTGATCCAAATCGGAGTGGGGGAACCACCCCATTTGCCTCCCACCATGTAATAAAAATTATTAAAAAATACATTTTTCGCAACGCGCGAAATTTTTTTTTTGAAAATCCTTCTACATTGAGCCCAGATTACAAACAAAAAAATTGACCTCAATACGAATGGGGGAACAACCCCATTTTCCTCCCCCCATGTAATAAAAAGTCTTAAAAATTCCTTTTTTTGAAACTCACGAAATTTTCTTTTTGGAAATCATTTTACATTGAGCCAAGATTATAAACAAAAAATTTGACCCGAATCCGAGTGGGGGAACAACCCCATTTTCCTCCCCCCATGTAATAAAAATTATTAAAAAATACATTTTTCGCAACGCGCGAAATTTTTTTTTTGGAAATCTTTCTACATTGAGCCCAGATTACAAACAAAAAATTTGATCCAAATTGGAGTGGGGGAACCACCCCATTTGCCTCCCCCTATGTAATAAAAATTATTAAAAAACACATTTTCCGCAACGCGCGAAATTCTTGAACAACTATATCATAAATTTATTACTTACATGGAGAGAATAGTTATAGGCAGTGCCGTAACAAGGGTGGTGCCGTCGGTGCTGTGGCACCGGGCGCAGGCTTTGGGGGGCGCAAATACTTAACTAAATTAAACTCGCCTAAATCGTAATCACCTTTGCGCCCATGTTGCGAAGATAATTTTTTGTTTTAACTGCATGGAAAGTATGGCATTGAGAGTACGAGGAGTGCATTTTTTTTAATGCTAAAAAGTTATTCTTTTTAAGTAAAAACTGATTTTTATGTAATCCAGATGCGTTTTAACATTTTATAGCGAGAGCGGGTGCAAAATAATTTTTCATCCTACATGCGCAAAAATGGCGGTTTCTTACAGCTGACGACAGAGAGTAAAGTCATTAATTTCTTCAACCGTATGAAAATAGCGACCGTTTTCATACAAGTCGAACAATTGAATAACTTTTACTCCCTGTCATCTGCTATCTGAAATCGACACTTTTGTGCATTAGGAATATGTTCCATATGAGCACACACACATTCATACGTCTGATTTCTTCTCTCGTCGGTGAGCTTCTTTTTCGATTTCGTCGTTTTCCTTGGCTTGCTCGAAAAATGAGGCGCGAAATTTAAAAATAATATACTTTTTTAAGAAGTATTTTTAATAAACAATTTTATTATTATTATTTTATTTCTATTAAACAATGTTTATAAAATTCTTATGAGAAATTCAATTATTTTGAAAAATAACAAAATTTTTTAGAGAAATCCAATTCTTTTTAAACATTTTAATAACATTTTTGCTATAATTCAATTATTTACAAAAATATTAAAATTTTTTACAGGAATTCAATTATTTTCAAATATTTTAATAAAATTGTATGAAAAAAATGAAATATTTTAAATACAATTTTAATTACATTTTTTTGAAATAATTTACTTATTTTCATAAATATTAAAATGCTTTTCAGAAATTCAATTCTTTTTGAAAAGCTTTAATAAAATACCACACAGACATTCAATTATTCTTAAAAATGTTAATAGAATTCTTTGTAAAATTTAATTATTTTTAAAAACTGTTCGCAATTCAATGATTTCCAATGTCTATAGACATTGGAAATCATTGAATTTGGATTTGGAAATTTGAATTTCCAAACAGAAATCAATTTTTTAAAAAAATTGTTGATAAAATTCTAAGGAAAAATTCAGTTATTTTATAAATAATAAAATTTTCGAAGAATTTCAATTATGTTAAATACTACTTTAAATTAATTAATCGAAAAATTAAATTATTTTTATAAATAAATTTTTGACAAGAATTGAATAATTTAAAATAAAATTTCCATAATATTTATTATATTTCAAAAAAATTAATTATTTAAAACAGTATTTATAAAATTCTTATGAAGAATTCAATTATTTTGAAAAATAACAAAATTTTTCATATAGAAATTCAATTCTTTTCAAACATTTTACTAAAATTTGTCGCAAGATTCAATTATTTCCATAAATAATAAAATTAATCGCAGGATTTCAATTAATTTTAATACAATTTTACAGAAATTGTTCAAAGAATGTAATTATTTAAAAAAATTTAATTTTAATTACTTGGAAAATTCAATTATTTAAAAAAATGTTTTTTTAAGTTCTTTGGAAGAATTCAATTATTTTCAAAAAAATTAGAAGTTTTCACTGGAATTCAGTTATTTTCAAATATTTTTATAAAATTGTTCAAAAGTAATCAATTATTTTAAATACAATTTTAATTACATTTTTTAAAAATAATTCATTATTCTTTTAGATTTTAAAAAATTCTTCCTAAGAATTCAATTATTTACATAAATCATTTTTCGATAAAATTCAATTATGTCGATAAATAACAAAGTTATTCCCAAAAATTCAATTATTTTGAGTCATTTTAATAATATTCTTTTCTCAATTACAAGAATTCAATTATTTTTAAAAGTAAAAATTATTTTTAGGAAATTTAATTATTTTCATAAATAATAAAATTATTTTTAGGAATTTTATTATTATTTATTTATTATACATAGTTCCTGCCTTTCGGCTTTGAACGAATTTCCGGCATTCTCCTTTACCTTACACTTTAGATTAATTAAGGAATTTTATTATTTTTATAATGAAAATAATTTAATATTTTTTCTTAATTTGAAGTTAAACGATTATTAGTAAATATAAAAAGTACAAAAAAATAATAACTTTTAAATTGAAATATTTAAATTAATCAATAATAGATTTAGTTATTAAAGAATATTCAGGGAATAAAAAAATTAATAAAATGATAAAAAATACTTTCATTAATATATAATAAATGATTATTAATGACTACTTATGTATATTCATTAAGTATTGAATTGTTTACAATAATCTTGGAAATAATACTTCTCTGATAAGTATTATTTTCAAATTTCGCGCCCCATTTTTCGAGCAAGCCGAGGAAAGGTGAGAAGAGGCTCACCGATGAGAGAAGAAATCAGACGTATGAATGTGTGTGTGTGGATCGACACTACAAAGAGTGGGGGTACTACAGTTCCAAGAACCGACTGGTATTACAGCTTGCGTTCATATGCACGACCGATTATTGCAGCGACATGCTCAATTTTACGGCACTATTGAATAGACTTGACTGTTACTCTCTTTTTTGTGTGCGCTAACATCTTCTCGTAAATCGTATGAGAAGGGGTTGAGGGGGGAAATGACTAACAGGAGACAATGCTAATTCCATGCTCGAAGAGAATTTTCTCCGCCCTCCCCTCTAATACTTATACATATGCAATAACACGATCTTGAATTATTGTCCACATATTGTTTACAGTAATGTGTTTTTATATTATAAATTATTTTATTATTATTATTATTATTATATATTATTTAATATTATTATCTATTTTTATCATCAATTTCAATTTTTTAAAATAATATTTAAATACAATTAATTAATAATATTAATTAATTCATGTTTAAAAAAAAGAAAATAGTTGTCAATTTAACACATCATTCCACATTCGAGGAGAATTTTCTCCCGCAACCCTTTATGTGTGTTTGTATGTTTATTTTGATGCATTTAGTTGCAAGTTCGGCGTCTAATTCCTGGAACTGTTTTTCCTAGTAAATAGGTAGCGGGAATTCCCTCCTCTCTCATTTGATTGGTTTTTGTTTTTTGTCGTCTTATTCTGCACTTCGCCGTGGACACCGAAAGTTCGTTTTTTGCAAATAAGTCGATTTTTACGGAAAATTTTTTATTTAAAAATAAAAATTGTTTATTTTCCAAAATGTTAAAAAGAAAAGTTTTAAAAGCAACCTGTGATGTGATTGTGGAGAAATTTAAATGTCTTGACGACATAAGATTGGATTCCACTTTTTTCATGACGGTAAATAATTTTCTCTATTTCTTCTATACTAAA